TTCTTTTTTTTTTTTTTAACTAACAAATACAGTATTTTAGTTAATTAAATGTAATTTTTAATTTAGAGATTTTAATAGTGATGTAATTTGTAATTAAAAAATTTACAAAATAAATTAATTGTTGATATTTGGAGATGACTTTGTCGGCTCGGCTCGTGGGTACATTTGAACGAGCTAGAGCACGAACCGAGCGGCCACCATTCCTCTACTGGCTGTATCGTCCTTTTGCTTTATGTTGACAACATCATTTTAACTGTGACAACGGATCTCTGAAAGAAGTAAAGGCGTGGAGAAATGGAAGGATGAGAGAAAGAGAGAGAGAATATTAATGATATAGAATTCCAATATGTAGTGACCAAAACAATCACTTTTTTGCTCAGTGACCATTTGCAAACGGTCACTAAAGTTGCAAAGTGACCCTTTTTTCCATTTTTTTTTCGTTCTTTTTTTCACTCTATAAATACCTCAACCTATTTTCAAAAATTTTCGCACAACATTCTAACAACAATTCTCACTATCTTCCTTCTACACAATATACTACTACATTCATTTCTAATTTTCTACCTTCAATTTCAATTACCAATTTATCACATTACAAATTTACTTACTTATACTTACTATGCACTAACATTATACGTATTCTGTACATTTCATCACAAGTTCACAATTCACAAATGGATTCGCACTCATTTGTTCAGGGCTGATTCGACAGTGTCGGAGGCGAATCACCTATAATGCTGCAAAGTCAATTTTGGAATGAATTTGTCGATCTCAACGAAGTACCAATTCCCGAAAATATTTCTGATTTCGATGCTTATGGAAGTAGTAATGTAATTTATTTGAATGATTAATGGTTTTGAAACGGAAAAAGAGGATGAACAGAAATTAGATATTCCCGATACAAGAAGGAAGCAGAAGGGGAAAGAATAATCAAAATGTTAGGATCACTTTAAATTGATTTCAATGGGTCACTTGGTCGATGGAGTTGTAGAGTCTAAAGAAGTATATAAATACTGTCAACAATGATTGGCGTGGTAGAATGACATTTGTACCACTTGAACTGTCACTACAAAGCATATGCAGTCAAACACGGGCTTCTTGCTGCCAGTCAAATGCAATTGCAATTTGGTAGTCCAACCTTCGATTCTACTTTTACAACACTTTGCATGTGGATGTATTCGGAAGAGAAAACTCGAATGAGAATGGTGAAATTCGTTGCTGGTGATGAGTTGTCTCTAGCAATAGCGAATAACTAACATTTCGTCTCCTACGTGAAAAAAGATCTTCAACCAAGGTATGTCAAGATAAATGGAAACACTATTCATTCCGATACAATAGAATACTTCAATAATACAAAAAAATAATTGATTACCGATTTGTAAAAATATGAGATGTTATATCTTTAATTTCGGACATATGAGAATGGATTAATAAAATAGGTTATACAGCTACAACTGCACACTACATAGACCTACTTTGGTTTATGGATCAAAAAATTATTGTTTTTAAAATTATTGAGTTTTCTCATAACACTAACAATATATATAATGTTATTATGAGCATTCTTAGAGAAACCACTGTGAGGGTAAAATACGTTCTTTTTACGTTTGACAATACTAATATTAATAAGCCAGTTGTCAATAAATTATGCAGCGTTCTAAAGCCTGACTTCGGTGGTTATTTATTTCATATTTATTGTGTGTGTCATATTTTTAATTTAATTGTGTAAGATAGTTTGAAATATATTAAGAATAAACTTCAAAGAATTAGGAATGCATTAATATATATCATGATTTCACTTGATAGAAAACAAGCTTTTGAGGATTTTTGTATTGAATTTGGGACGATGAATGCTGAAACATTTGTTAGTGATGTAGAGTATAGATGGAACTCCACTTACTTGTTATTAAAATCATGCAAAAGATTTGAGCATTTAATAACTAATTTCATAACAATAGGCACACTAGAAATGAAGATACTAGTTTGAATGAATCTTTAAAAGTTATAAAAAATTGACAAATATTTATGACTCTACAAATATGTTATTTGAAATGTACTATCCCACTAGTTATATGGTGCTTGAACGTCTTTATATAATCGTAAGGGTTTTTCATAAATATAAAAATGACCACAAATTTAATAAAGCTATATATTTTATAGAATTAAAGTTTAGAAAATATTGGAAAGACTTACCTATGTTATTCCCTTTAGAATGCATTATGGACCCCCGATACAATTTATCAGGTACTAAGTATGTAATAGATCAGATTTCAAAAGTTTTAACTTTTAATACTCCTATCACTTATAGAAATTTAGAACAAATTTTATGTGAAATGTACGAATTATATGCAGAACGAATGAGTGTAAATATTAGTCGAGTACCGTTTGCACCTAATCTCCCCGCTAATATTGAAGAAAATGACGTTGAAATATCAAATTTATTTAAAAGCATTATTACGTATAGATATGATGCAAATGCAATATATTTCTCTAGCAGTAGTATGTCTACCGCATGTAATCAGACATTGGACACAAGTCCAAATGCATTTGTCCACTGAATTAATTGACTACTTTAATTATAATATGCCTAATAACAAAACAATTAAAAAATGTTTATAAAAAGTAATTGATTTTTGACGAAAGTACGAACGATGAAGACCAGTAGTTTAGGTGATTGCAAAAGACATACTTACAATTCTGGTTAGCATTATAGTTTCGAAGTCAGCTTTTAATGCAGACAAAAGGGTTCTGTTCGAGGTGATGAGCCGGCCGAAAAAAGATATTTTGAAAGCATTAATGTGTTTAAAGGATTGACAAGACGCTTATTTCTAACTGCAAGATAAATAAGTTGAAATTACATGTCGTCAGGTAAGTGATATTTAATTTATCCATATTAATTAAATTTTGTTATTTTATAATACTGCTTTTAATGTTTTTAAAAATTGTACACGTAACAAGTTGTTCATATACAATTTTTAATTTATTTTACACGAAATTTAAGTATTTGGTTCCAAATTTAGATAAAGGAGGGGGTTTTATCTATTACAGAAAAAATAAAAAAAAAATAAAAAATAAAAAATTTTGCGAGCTCATGAGTCGAAGCTTAGCTTGATTCACGAGCCACGAGCTCAAGGGCCAAGTCAAGCTCCACTTGTGATGACCAAAAGCCAAGTTCGTGAGCAATAGGGTCGAGCCGAGCCACCAATACATGAACATGGCCTTAGAATGACGGTCAAAGTCAGATCTTGTTGTTGCAACATTTCGTGTCAATGAAGACTAGAAACTATTAGGCTGGCGTTGGAAAGCCTCATGTTAGAGTAGATGGGTTTTAAGTGTTATTTTATCTATGGTGTGACACTTAGTCGAGACACACCTCACAAAAGTTGAAGTCAGTTGTTGAACTCGCAACTAAGTTCAGTAGTCAATTTAGAATTTTGTCGATCTCAGTATCAAGTTTACCACATATCCAGTATCATGACAAAGTTCTTAACTTTGTCATTTCTGTTTCATGCGGATTTTCGAATCTGAAGTTTGCGAGGGGGACTTTTTCCGCTAATGACATAGAAGAATCAGACAACTTGTTGCACCTTGGGAGGAATTTCTTATTATGTGGATCTAACTTTGCCTAAAAACACTTATCCACTTGTTCAATTGGAGAAGACGTCGATACGTAACTGATTGTTTATCAAATTTCCTTTTAAAGGATTTGGTGACTACTACAGTTTGATTTGACAATCACATCGCAACATCTCAAGCTTGATAAGAGATCCGCGACATTGCATTTGTTCCATGAAATTTTGAAGTCAACATTAATTAGATATCCATTGCCCAAGTAAATCATATAATCTATAATATAATATTAAATATACATCAAGTGAGAATCAATTTTTTGATGATTCTAATCTTACTATAATTCAATTGTTTCAATAATATTTTACTCTTCGTTTTTCAATAGGTGTTTAATCTATTTAACTATTTGAATAATATTAACATGAATTATTTTGCCAACTATTTAGTTATCATCAATGTACATTTGACTGATTCATTTTACTTGTGTGCCTTCATTCATGTATGAATTCTTTGTTATTAATTCTCAATTATTTAATATTCATGTTCAATTAAGTGCTATTCATTTTCATTTTTTATTTATACATTTAAGTGTTATTAATTATAATTCTATGTTGATTGGAATTAAATTATATGCATTTAGTATAAATGATTTAACATTCATTATCATGTATATATTTCCCTATATTAACTCTAAAAGTAATTAATATCCACGTATCTTCAACTCTAACTAGTAACAGTAAATCAAAGCATAGTGTCATTTATTTATACATTCAAATCAGCCTTTTAATTAATTATTTTATTTGAAATTTGTTTATATTTTTTTGAAAAAATTGAGAATGTAGTTACAATTTGTTCTTTATTTTTCTTTTCTTTATTTTTTGTTCTATTTAAATAGGAGGCTACATTTGATATTTTAAACTTTGAATTGAAAAAATTGATAGAAATGATGATTTTCACAATGACATGTGAAAATTTGAGAAAATAAGGGTGAAAATGCAAAAAAATGAAGGATATGGTTGCTTTGCACAATAATATTGAAAAGTATGGACGTTTTGTGTTAATTACCATTTTAATAATTTATTTTAACTAATTTGTAATTTTTTTTAAAAAAAATTGAGTGTATAATTGTAATTTGTTCTTTTTTCTTTTCTTTTTTTGTTTTATTTAAATATTAGGGCGTATTTTTTATTTTATATTTTTCATTGAAAAATTGGATGAAAACGATCTTTTCTACAATGAAATGTGAAAATAGAGGTGAAAATGCCAAAAATGAAATGTAAGAACGTTTAGGTTACAATGTTTATAAATTCAAATCAGACTTTTGATTAAAAATAATTAACTTATCTAATCAACTGATTAGCCATCAAAAAGCTAAACTAATCTCCTTATGAAATCATAAACCACACCACAACTACACGTGCTCAATTAGTCCACAGTCGACCCGTTGGATTCACTCCGACCCGCTATTGTAGGACCGGTCGCTCTGATCGCGGCTCCAGACAAATTTTCAATCTTTCTCTTTCTAGAGCTTTACAGGATTTCAACTCTCCTCGAATCCTGCTGTTTTACGGAACGAAGTGAAATATTGAAGTTACTTTATATCTACACATCATAATTAGGTAGAGATTACAATTCTGTTCAGTGATGAGTTTGTGAAAAAATAATGGGTGTATTCTGCGGTGGCTTCCTCCGCGACACATGCGATCGTGTCGCTGATCGTTGCTTCCGCTTCTTTCCCTGTCTATCTGATCCGGGTACTGCTTATTATTTTGTGTTGATGGTTTCTTATAAGAATAATAAGATAAGATAAGTTGAATTTTCTTTTTTTATTGAATATTTCTTCTGTCCAATTTATTATAGCTCGGAGATCTACTTTATGTTTGAAGGTGGCTTTGGTGACGCTCCATCTGATTTTTCCCGGGGTTTTATTTGCATTAGATAGAGATTTGATTGTAAGAACCAGAGAAAATCCATGGTATTATTTTTAATTTATCTCTCTAAATTGATGAGTGTTTTGATGTGGGTTTTAAATGGATTTATTCTTTTTATGGATTGCATTTAGTTGACGATTTTAAATCTGAGTTACATTAAAGTAGAAAGTTACAGCTTTTCTATGTTCGAAATTGATGGGAGAACAGAGCAACCACAAATATTCCAACTACATATTTGAGACGATGCAGTGGAATGAATGATTCTCTCTTCTTGTGTATCAAATGGAGTGATATCACAATAATATATCAAACCTAATAGACATAAGTGTTGTCTTTTTCATCCAATGGGGAAAACAACTACGGAACCATCACCCATAATCTCCATCATATATCATATTAACCATGGGAAGGCTAAAAAACAACAGGAAGAAGACAATTGCACGCCAACAATTATCTCATCATCTAACAAAGATGGAAATATAAAAACGAGATATTGTTGGTGAGCCAAGATAATGTATTTTTGGAGCCTCTAGTATTGACTAGAGAGAACCTTGTTTTCAATTATAAAGAAGAGATTATGGGTGTGCTACAGTCCCATGGTTTTTCCCCTTTGGTTAAGGATTTTTGAGTTTTTCTATGTTAAACAAATCTTGTGTTAATTGAGTTCCTATTAGTGTGCGTATACTCTATTTATAATCACTTATTAGGATTACATGAGAAGGGGAAAATATTTATTGCTTTGTTATTGTGTTGAACATTTGTGGTTTTCTTCTGCCATCAGGAATTGGGTTCTAAAGAGAACTTTTTATACATCTATATGTGTTGTTGAATTCTGAATGCAACTTGATAATGATAAGTTTGAAAAAAAATTATGTAATGCTATTTAAAAAAAGAAAAAATGACATGGCCCAAAAGCAAACAAGGAAATCGAGAATTCATTTTTTCTTGCTTTCACACTTAAGAGTCGTCCAAGAGACTTATACTATGCAGCGGTTATCTACCTTCCTATTTGAGCTCGAGAATTTGATTCCACATTAGGGCATGCTAGGTCTGATTTAAAATTTTGGTTTCTTTATGTTACACAATCATCTGACAGAAGGCCTCCTATAAATTGAGATTGAAGTGACGAGACTGAGGGACTAAAAATGTTCACATGATGGGTGGTTTTATAATTATTTCATTTCGTTTTTAGTGCTTACCGTGATAATGTGATTTCCATTTTCCCAACACAGGTACACTGTAATATATTTGTTACTATTTGTTGCTACACTGGCTCAGTATTTTATCACCTCTGGAACATCTCCTGGGTAATTAACATTATGAGCTACTCTTACTGCTAGAAGATTTACTTTAGATCTTTTGCTGAAGAGAATATATTTTTATGTGCCTGAAGCTTCTTTTTCTTTTCATATATGGAGCTATCTAATTGATGCGCAGAAGGCTGTTGATGAGAGAGATTCCTTAGTTAGAAGGACATCAGTGGATACACAGTATGAGGGTTCCTGTCTGAGTTTTTAATGTGCAGATTGTATCTACTCTATTTCTTAAAAATGGTATTGCCTAATAACTGCTATGTTTTTTGGTGTATCTTTTTTATTTTAAAATGTTCAAGCAAAGACAATCAGCTTCGAGCAAGAATGGCAGTGTTGTTATCACAGTGGACCAGAACCTATCAGGCCGGAATTATCAGAGAAGTAATGTTACAGCTTGGACAAAGCTAGTGATGGATATGTACCCTCCAGGATCATCTATTAGGTAACTTGTTTTAACAAACGGGCTTTAATATTGCTGCAGTACAGAAATTTCTGGGTGATGGGCTAGATGAATTGGAGTGACATCTTTGCTGGGCCAAGGAAGATATGTTACTCTTATCTTGAAAATTTCGTAGTATATATTATTAACAAAGAATAAAAGGTTTTTTCTGAGACGTAAGAAGGATCCCCCCCCCCCCCCCCCCCCCCTTTTTATTTTTTTTTTGGGGAGAAATT